GTATTTGAGATTCACAAAAGGACTCGGACTCGGAGACAAGGACTCGGACTCAGACTCGGACTAGGATACCAAGGACTCGGACTCGGATGAGGTGGACTCGACCATAGCACTGATTATTTATTACCTAGAATTTTTTTCTCTTTCAGTCGTTTTGGTCATCTGCAAAGAGTTGCTCATGTTCTGGCAACGGTTCCAGCCCTACTTGGCCTAGCTGCGCAACGTTGTAAAAAAATTAAACATCTTGGAGGAATATAGGCCTAAAATCTGCATAATATACGACGGATGTTTGCATATGATTTGTTCATTCGTGAAACAATCAATGAATCACCTCTACCCACCATTTGGAAATAGTTTTAGCTGACTATCTATGTGAGGTAACTTCAGGGGCGGATCCAGGATCTTCCAAGGGTGGAAGGGCGTGATTTTTTTTAAACCTGTAGGGGAAGTTTTGTCGTGATACACCAACGTGCGAAGCCACGGCGTGGGGTTCGGGGCCGACTTATGGTCCCAAAATTGTGAACTTTAGAAGCTCTTTGGTACATTTTAGAGCAAATCTTGGGATCTTTGAGGTAGATTTTTCCTCAAAATTCAGAGGAGATAGATAACATTTTTTTTTAAATAAAAATATAATAAACATTTCACAAACATAACAATTTTCTGAACTGGAAAAGTTCGGATGAAAAGTAAGTTTCAGATTAAAACAAATTAAGCAAAAAAAAACAAAATTCTGCTTCCTATTACATGACTTTCCAAAAATTAGGGTCGTTAGGTCGGAATTTATTTTTATTTCGTCAAAAAAATATTTTGTGCTGATTGAAATAATGCAGCATACCAAGGAATCATGCATAATTTGTGCCTTAATAAAGTTCATTCGCGCCACAAAAGTAATCGAGACTGTCCATCAAAAGTGATAAAAACTTGCCTCACCTAATATGAAAAACATATATTTAAGGTGGATGATTCTTAAAAATAATGGGGAACTGAAGTCCTCCACGCCACTATGCTCAACGTTAGTCACCGTCAGCCGCCAGCCAGCAGTGGCCGTATATCGCCTCGCGCACACGGCACACTATCAGTGTGCATACCTGCACTGTGTATTTGCAGCGGACTCGGCAACGAACCCACGTGCTGTGGCCGAACTTTTTTTCAGAAACACGCTAACGGTGTATCAAGTACGTATGAGCGGAACAATCTCCTTATAAATATATTTTAATGGAAAATACATACACAGAAAAGAAAGATCACGTTCTGGGAATTAATTGGAATAAATTCTCCTTCTTCATCGATGTTTATTAAATATTTGGTATTTTCTACGGTCCAAGTTCGTCCTGTCACGTTATGTAGGTCTAGTCACTGGTTCCAGTCCTACCAGTGAATGGCGATGGCACTGCACTGCACTGCCATGCTATGCCGCACGGAACATCGTATACGCGAACAGTGGCATGGCTTTGGTGCATTTTGATCACAAATGCGTCAATAGTTTAGGCTTTTTCGTCAAGATTTAGCATGTCAAGATGAACTATTTTTTTTTTTTACGATTATAGTGCCATATGTAATTCCAGCGTATCGGGCCGATACGCACGCATAACCCAATATTTGTCTATAAATGGCTTAAACTCAAACTCTAGTTTTCTTACACACGGAGTACCCCAAGGCTCAATTTTAGGACCTTTGCTTTTTATAATATATAGTAATGATTTTACAAAGTCTTCTAACTTGCTCTCTTTTATATTGTTTGCTGATGACTCTAGTTTATTCTTTTCCCATGGCAACCTCAATTACCTCACTGACACTGTTAATTAACACCGAACTTATATCTGTTTCGAGTTGGTTCAGACTTAATAAATTATCCTTAAATATTTCCAAAACTAGCTTCATGTTGTTCAGTAACTTTGTCAGTGAACTAGCCTGTAATATTATGATTGATGATTCTGTAATTATCAAAACTGATTGTTGTAAATGTTTTGGTTTGTTTATTGACCCAGGGCTAACATGGAAAATCATGTTGATCATTTATGTAAAATCATTGCAAGAAACGTAGGTGTATTAACAAAATCAAGCATCTTTTACCTGTAAATGTTTTGGAATCTCTTTATAACACCCTAAGTGTCTCTCATCTTAACTATGGTTTACTTGCTTGCGGTAGTAGTTCTGCTACAAGACTACTTCTATAACAGAAAAGAGCCTTGCGTGTAATTAATTTTGCCGACTTCTATGAACACACATATCCCCTTTTTATAAAACATAGAATTTTAAAACTTAATGATATGTATAACGTTCAGCTTGGGTCTTTAATGTATCAATCTTCTCGCAATACTTTACCATCTTCCATTAATAGTATTTTTAGCCAGAAGTGAAATTCATTCTCATTGGACTCGCCAAGCTTCTAATTTTTATATTCCATTTAGTCGTACCTCTCTTTCTCAAAATACTGTTAAATACAAGGGACCCAAGCTGTGGAATTCGTTCTCTACACAACTTCAAGCTTCTACCAATCTTTCCACTTTTAAACGCCTATTTAAATCAATCTTAATTCAAACTTATTATTAATTCATGCTAGTAGATATATGTTGTTACATGTAGATTGTAGAATATCCATTATTTTATTGCTCATTGCTGACCTGACTAGTTAAAATGATCTGTATTGTATTGTTTGTTTGTCTGTTGTTTACGTCTGAATGTGTATTGTGTTTAGGTATGTTGCTTTTCTATGTAATTACTTTAAATACAGCATGCTCATTGAGCCCTACCTCGTTTGACTGACCATTTAATAGTGTTTATTGTAAGTTACTTCCTTTCCCTTGGTTTGGGCTCAATGAGCATGCCCGTCTGGGGCCCATGCTTAAAAGCTCTGCTTCTTAATGGGCCCCTCTGCAGTGTCTCTAAAATATCAGTTGTGTTGTATTATTTGTAATTCTTTTCTGCTATGCAATTATTTTATGTCATTTATAGATTTGATGCTGTGGAAATAAATAAACCTTGAACCTTGAACCACGTTTGTACGTGGGGAGAACATCTTAATGTTTTATCTGAAGGAAAGGGGGCGTGCGCCCTCAACTCCCCCCCCCCCGCTGGATCCGCCCCTGACCTTACAATTCTGTCACAAGTACAATGTAAAAGCAGCCTCAAATAAATGCGTCATGCCATAATTTGTTGAGCAATCCACAGACTTACGCACTGAGAAACTTTCTTAAAATTCTCGTGACTGAAATGTTGCGCAACGTACACTATAAATGGTGGCCCGAGTGTTCTTTGTCATCGCATAAGGTGACATGAAATCGGCTGCAGGAATGAGATTGTCAAATAAAAAAGTCTGACAATTGAAAGGTGTGAAAGATGCGTATCTGTCTATGCATTTTCATGAAGGACCAAATATAACTGTGTGAACTTGAATTATACTGGGTTAGTTCAAAAAAAAGTGACCTGGATTAATGATTTTGTATCTTAAAACCTAATTTGACACAATCTAATTTGACACACTAATGAAGTACGTTTTAAAAGAGCATTTTTTTATATAAAAAAGACAAAGGCAAAAGTAATGCACCAGCCAAAATGACAAAACATAATGAAAAAATTGCTACACTATAATAAAGTAAGATCGATTGATAAAATTGATAAAATTGACCTTAAAAGATGACACAGCCACCAGGAATAAGATATTGCACGAAGTACACAATAGACCCAGACATAGTATGATAGTGCATAAAGCACACTAGACCCAGACATATTATGAAGATCAAGAAGTTAATAAGCATGGTCTTGTATACTCATCTGAAAAGGTGGGTATATTAAAATAGCTTTAAAAAACTAGCAATTGTGAAGTTACAGGCCCCGTACCACACTCATTACAATGTTAGTGACGTTTAAAATAATAATATGACATGTTTGCTTAAAAAAAAACTGTGATAAAAATCACAGAACGTAACGTGAAAAGATGGTTATCGGCGCAATGTACTGTGAAAAAGCAGAGCCGCGTTCATGTCGCTACGCAATGCATTAGCTGAAAATGCGTAGAAAAATGTCTAGTGGATATTATGCCGGATTCGGTTTTCTTTAAGTAGGCCTATGGGTGCACTCCAGTAAATAGGCCAAATATCCGTCCGCCGAGCTCATGAATACAAGTTATACACTCAAATTCGTCCATATTAGAGAGTTCTGAGAGCCATGGAATGGGGAGATTGAAGAGATATGGCAATACACCTCTGGCCCGGACTTTTTTTAGCCATGTTGTGGAGGGATCCCTTTTCGAGATGGCTACTTTTTCACTTTGGGAAATATCACTAATTTTAGGGGTCGGCTTCTTTGGATGAGATTGTCTCGAAAAGTCATCGGTCAACCCAACAAAAATTAAAAATAAAATGAAATTTGACATGTTCATCATCATTTTTCTGTGCAGCGTGAAAACATGTGAGAGTTTTGAGTATTTTTAAAAGAATTTTGAAGTATGGGCATTTACACTGTTGTCTATTGGACATTTATTAGATTGGGTGCACCCCTATACGATGTTAAGCCGGGTGATCTTACAGCGCCCTCCTTGACGCATAATTATAGACGAAGACTTTTCTGCAACTATGCACAAAAGCAAAAACCAAAAAAAAATTGGAAGAAAAACAATTGCTTTTCAGTTGACGGCGGGAAAGCCAATCTGCAAAGTTGGCGGAAAAGCCTGAATACAAAAGTTATTGCATTTTAAGAAGTTCGAATCATGGGAAAAACTCCATTGCACGGTCCTTTAAATGTGTATTTGATAAGATGAAGCTCGACTTTAATTCTGATATAGAGACTAACACTATAGTTACGTGGCCTCCTAATTTGCATACGGATCGCAAAACGTCAGCAAACAGATCATTTTAGAAATCTGGTTTTGCAATGAAATGATTGCAATAAAAAAAACTCAAGTTAGTACTTTGGCACAACCGCCACATTTCTTAGATTTCCCTGTAAGACATCTTGCTATAGTTGCACTTTTAAAATATTAATTTTGGAGTAGAATTACTTACCTCGTTTACCACGGCACTGGGCTCTGAAAGACGCGAAAGCCTTGTTACGAAGTGCGGTCAGATCATCACCGGGTGCAGCCTGGACCATGGCACTACACGTGTTCCCTCGCACAGGTAGAATAAAGAAGGAACTAAAAAGCCACAGAGTCCAACTGAAGACCCACATTTTACGCGGGTTTTTCATGACCAGCCAGCAGGTCTTCACTTTGATATCTGCGATCAAAACGGGCAGAGCACCACTCCCTGGCACGATGAGCCTAATGTTTGGGATATCGCTTGCTGTCGTCACATAGTTTCCACGGTAACCGTAACAATGGATATTGTTTGGAGTTGGTTCATCGACGATCATGACAGAGCGAAATCCAATGTCATGTGACGCTCGTTTTTTTAATTTATTTATTGTTTTCCCCTGGAAGAAATGTGTTATTCAACCTCAAAGCAACTTCTAAGCTACACAGAAACTACTTAAGAAACCAAAGCAATGCCGCAAAATATCTTGACCTATAATACATTTGGAATACAGAGTTAGTTTTGACACAGTACTTCAAAGGAGTCTCATTTTGTATGACATTTTGCAGTAGATCCATTTGTAATCGAGATGTACTTTTCCAAACTAAAATAACGTTTTAAATCAAGATTCAATAGTGCAAGGGATGATCTGCTATCGTTCATCTTCATCTTATAAATGTGAAAACGACACAAAATAAGGATCAGGTTGAGAGCAATCCACGATATTTTTTTTAACTTATGCCGAAAAGTATAGCCTCATCGTCTAAGTGTATGTTTAAATTAAGAGTCCTCTCAAACCAATCATTAACCCGGGTCCAAAACATAGATGAAATCTCACACCTACAAAATAGATGAACAAGCGTTTCGCTCTCTAAGATATAGAATATCTATGTAACGAACCGGATAGGGCGCTCGCGCGCTATGCACGTCAAGTCACGTACAAACATGCGTACGAACATTTTTTTCTTCCGCGATGCCTGTACGATATGGATTACGGTAGCCTCGTTTTTCGCCCGGTTGTAAAGGGACGAAAGAGGTACGTGCATTTAATATAAATCCTTGCTAAATAACGCAACGTCGAAAAAATTGTGTTGGAAAGGATTGATTCTTCAAAAAAACAACTTTGAACATTTTAAACATGGCGTCGCGCGTTAGATACATCGACTGCAGTCCTAGTTTAAATGTGCCAATTTATGACACATTTAAATGAGACAATTCCAGTGGTTAAGATCGCGCAAGGCATGATGGTAAACAACATGGCGCAGCAAGATCGTACCCATGGAAACGAGGTTGCCCAGCAGGCTTCACTTTGTAATTCTACACAGCCTATGATTGCACACCAGTAAATAGGCCAAATATCCGTCCGCCGAGCTCACGAATAAAAGTTGTACCCTCAAAATATTTTATATTAGATCTAGAGAGATCTAGATCTAGATCTGAGAGCCATGGAATTGGGGAATTGAAGAGATATGGCAATGCACCTGTGGCCTGGACTTGGGACTTCCAATTCTGAGCATTGTGGATGCAATTGGGCCCGAAAGTGACGCTATTTAGCCATGTTGTAAAGGGATCGTTTTTCAAGCCGTACTAAAGCTGTACTACATTTCGAGTTTTCCATTTGTTTGTGCACAAACGTGGATCCGCCCAGCAGGCTTCACTTTGTACAGCGAGTTACCACTGTAGTAATTCAATATAGCTCTATGTATTCTATTATATAGACTAATCCGACAACAGCCATTTTCTCTGGTGGCACCAGGCTCGCGCGAGTCGCGTAAATGCAAGCTGCTTTCATTTATAACGCAGCAATTCCGAGGAAATGCACAAAAGGAGGCCCAACGATTAACTGCCTGCTCCCTGCTATCATTACTATTGTATAGTTTCACTGATGCGTGAAGCCAGCAGACACAAGTCCAAAGCGGCTAATACTCCCTGTACTGTTTTCAGCACAGAGTACGCGTAACCCTTGATGTAACCCGTCTGAAACGCACCCACAATGGCGATTTCTAGTCAAGATGAGGAGGGGACACCGGCGTCACCAGGTTAATATAATGGGGGGGGGGTGGTTTAAGGCATCATAGATTGAACATTTCTGGGTCTTAAAAATCGTTTTGTCAAGACTAATATTAACAAACTTAAAGGGAATATACATCATTTGCTTTTGCTGTAATTTTCAGAAATGGATGGAATTGGGGGGTTGGAAATATAAAGCAAATATAGTTACACTGACTTTTTGGAGGTTTTGGGTTCGAAAATGCTATAAAAACCAAGAAAAACGATCATTTTCCTGTAGTCTGGTCCCCTGACTCCATATAAGAAGAAACAGAGCAGTTTACATACATTGGGGAATTGTAAGGTCAGGGAACCAGTCTAGCTGGCTCGTACCCGTTCATAGGTTTGTAATCGATTGCAAACAAGTGCAATGGTCAATTGGGGCCAGTATTTGAAAAAAAAGCCAGTTGTTTCCAACGCTGATCGGCCGATCAGCGTTGAAAATTGATACAAAAATACCACTTTTCTTGAAAATGACAGAATACCAGGTGCCATAATTTTACAGGATGCTTTAGACTGTCATTTACCAACATCCTATTAAGGTATTTCGCAAAAACTTGGTAGTTTTATTTTTCGATGTTTGCAAATGTTGTATATTCCCTTTAACAAGCTTCAGTTCTTATGTTACCTTTCCTTCCCTAAATGTCGCTCCTTCCGTCAAGCAACTTTATCTTCGAAAATCAGAAAATAATGTTCATCAAGGTATGGTCTATAATATAACAGTACGAACATGATTGTTCATTTTGTTCATGAGTTATGAATTATTAAATCTTGTCATATTTAAACTAAACTCGCTTGTAATTTGATACCTATGACGTCATCATGACGTCACTTCTGTCTCAGGCCGGTTCATACTCAAAGCGAATGCAAACGCAAATTGGTCATGGCAAACGTTCGCGCTGCGATTTCGCAAAAGGTGAGCCTATTTGAACTCCGGCGAATTTTGCCGCGAACGTTTCATGACTCCAATTTCGCATTTGCATTCGTGGTCGGTTCATACTTCATGCGATGCAAATTTGACGTCACGAAGCATTCGCTACGAAATTAGCCGGAGTTCAAATGTGCTTTTAAATTGCCCTGACGTCGCAAATTCGCTATCGCGTTCGCTTTTCGTGACGAGTATGAACCGGCTTTAAACCGGCCTCAACATCACATGGGTTATTTTATCCCGACTGATCTTTGATCTAGACTACTTTATCGAAATACCAAAGTGCTTTACTGAGGTTATTCGAAATACTTTGTTTAGCAATATTTTCCACCATCATGTATTATTTTATAATGATTGTGAACCTGAATGCAAACTTCAAGACCGGTAGAATCGGGTTAACAAGAGAGTAACTGAGACTTTGTGTGTAAAATTAACTAATTGAACGTAAAGACAAGGCTTTCGTGCCCAGATATTAAAGTTAGACTCGAAAGTCACAGGAAGCAGTAATATTTGAAAGAAGTAACAATATTCAATCGGCATGAGACAGTGAAGTACTGAAAAGGGGGTAAGACAATCGTTTCTTAATGAATATGAAGACAAACATTTGCTAAATGCCTTTTGGTGTATGAAGGATCCTAGAAAGGCATCCCTTTTCGAAAATAAGACAAACATCTTACATAAAAATCGAAAAAGTGGGCCTTGATCACAACAATTTGTTATTAGTATCATTGAACGGTTCGTTGTCATTACCTTTCTGGTAATTGTTCATTCGTAAATTGAATCATAAAATGAGCTTTGTTCATTTATAATTCAGTAACTCCGAAAAAATACAACAACGAAGCACAACCATTAATTGCTAGCTTTCTGCCTTGTCTTTCGCCCAACATAATATTTTTTATGGTCAATTAGGCATAATAAATTAGACTTAAGTTATTCATTGTATTTCAGTTGTATAGTTCGCTGAAGCGCAAAGCACAGTGTACGCATAACCCTCGGTGTAATTCGTCTGTGATACGCACCAATGGCGGCGATTTCAAGTCAGGATTTGCAGAGAAAGTGGTGTCAACAGATCAATCTCCAAGGGGAAGGCGAGGGGGCCGGGGGGTGATTGCCATGTAGGCACATAAACTAACATTGAAGTCCTGGGAGTTTTTAGACTTTATTGTTTAAAAGGTGCACTAAACGCATCAAGCAATGGTTGGCACAAAGTGCTCCGTTTTTTGTCCCCTATTTTTACTTGTTACATGATTTCCCCTCTGGAAAAAGGTAAGGGGTCTGGTTGACGGGGATAGACGAAGTTTAACCAGGTAGTGTCGAGCCCCATCACCATGCGTTTCTTGGGATTGCTTCAAGACATTTCATGCGAAGTAGCAACATGGAAGAGGCGCCGTCGTGTGCGCCCTCATTTGGATGGGAACCACCTTGACGAGGGCACAGTGCGATGGTACAACACGATACAAGTCGCGAGGGACGACGTGATGCAACACGTTGTTATGGTGTTCTATAGACGCCAAATCTGCGTCGCGTCGTGCTTTCACGTCGTGCCGTCGCGTCGTACCGTCGCGTCGTGCCGTCGTCGCGTGGCGTCGCGTCGTGCCGTCGCCCGTCGCGTCGTGCCGTCGCCTCTTAAATTACCGTTTCTAAGCACGTACACTGCATGAGGAAGCGACGCACCTTCACACGTCGCGTCGTGCCATCGTACGTCGCGTCGTGCCGTCGTCCGTCGCGTCGTGCCGTCGCCCGTCGCGTCGTGCCGTCGCCTATTACCTCGGCGCTTCTAAGTAGACTGCTTGAAGAGGCGACGCACACATTGCCCGTCGCCCGTCGCGTCGTGCCGTCGCCCGTCGCGTCGTGCCGTCGCCCGTCGCGTCGTGCCGTCGCCCGTCGCGTGGTGCCGTCGCCTGTTGCGTCGTGCCGTCGTCCGTTGCGTGACTGTATCTTTCTTGGCAATAGGTGGCGCCTTCATTCTTCATGTAGGATGGAACGCCGTATTATCGCGGTACTTATCACGTTTCTCGTTCGGAATAGAGATTGCCCACTAACCCTCCAGAATTGTCCTGTCTTATGTGTAGTATAACTCTTCCTTTTTAAATTAATATAAAAAAATCTGACGGGTGGTGAGGTTTATTCCGTGTACGATGCCTGTGAAAATAGACATGCGCGGCGTGTGCGAACGGAGGTGGACTCCCTATTATCGCGGTATGCAGGAAGTGGTTTTTATAATGATCCCAACTTTGTTGTTCATAGTTTATGTTTGACCAAAACACTCCCTGAATAAAGTCCGATATTTTCCCTGTAACGTTCAAGTTGATTAAAGACAAAATGTCTGCAGGATGATTTCTTAAGACCCTGCCTTTCCCCCG